GAGGGAATTGATGGTCTGTGCAAGTGCAGTCAGACTTCATGTGTCTTCATAGGACCCATGTTCACAAAATGGCGGCGTGAGCATGATCTGAGGGTGGAGTTTTTAGTCTCTTGACGTCAAAGGTCGCCTATTGGACATCTCCACGGGCCCAGGTGGTGAGTTGGTGGTCTCAACCGGCCTGAAGTGGACAAGGGGTTCTAATTCCTGAAAAACAGCTCACACACCCATTACCATGGGGACCGAGGCTCCAGGGAGATGTTATCTATTGGAGCCCAGTGGGAGTCAGAGAACATATTGCCTAAACAGCACAGTTAATGATGAGTGGATTAAACAGCTAAAAGCTATAATCAGTAATTGCAAGAAGGAAAAAAAACTTTAGTTCCTAGCTACGGAATCCTCAATGGCTAACTCTCTGCCAGTTTCATTAGCAGGAGAGGCCAGAGGCCACTTCTCTCCATGAGATGATCCACATTAACAACTGTCTGATCAGCTCTTTTAGCTTCTAGTCAACAACCCTCAGCCTTCTCTGAATGCGTCCAAATTTCCTGGCCCCCTGCCTTTTCCTGTTGGCTTGCTCAAAATCTTATCTTTCAGCAGCATTTTCTCATGTCTCCACCTGGCAACCAGGAGCAGTGATCATTCAAAAACCTACTAAAGGCAATTAAAGGCGTTTCTTCCCTCGCTTAGTGCCTAGTTGTTGACTGTCTGCTACATGCCAGGCGCTTAGGTGCCAGCGCTGTTAGGGTGCCAAGGAAAGATCTCTCACCTCCAGGCGTCCCCTGGGGAAGGAGAGGGAAACAGGTCCACAAATCATCACGGGGCAGCCTGATGCTCCCAGAGCTGCCATCGGTTGGGACCCCCAGCTAGCTAACCCGGATCTCAAGTTATTAGAGAACCTTCTAGGTTTATCAGCCCCCACCCCACCCCCGTGTTCCATTCTCTTCCCCCCCAGGCTCTGTTCTTGTGCAGCAGCAAGGCTGAGCCCAGATCTACAATAGCCTCCTTTAGGGAACAGCGTCTCACTCTCTTCAAATGAACCCTCCTGAGATGGTACAGAGTAGAGATCACACCCCTCTGGAAGGATCCAAACTTCAGAACCAAAGGATGTGCAACCACTCCAAAGTGGCTTTTTAAAGAGCTTCTCATCACACACACCACACCCCTACCCCTGCTCCTCCTAGGACGTAGGACACCCCATTCAGTTTTCCCACACGGAAAATAGACAAACGGATCTCTAGTAAGAGTTGTTTGAAACCTCTCAGATGCTGTGGCTGTGTGCATCTAGCTCTGCCAGCTGTTGGACTCCCCTCTCCTCCTGCAGATGTTCTCCCTCCCAGCCCATTGCTGCTTCCCTCAGGTCCCTGGGAGCCACGTCGGGTGTCACTTCTCACCAGCACTCGCTCTTGCCCCAGCTCAGCTTGTGCCCAACTCCTGTCTGCTCTTCTTCCCTGGAAACTGAATGGCCCAAGCCTCTCCATTCAAAATGACCCCAGGCAGCTCCTCGGCTTCCTCCACCCCCCTGAGTGAGAGTCACTGCATCCAGAGCAGAGCCATGCAGGGCAGCGTGAGCCACCTTATCGTCCTCATCTTGTCCCATTTTTATCCTTGACCCATAAAGGAGAATGTTGTATGCTGCCAATGATGGCGAGAGACCAGACTGATTTCAACACTAAATTAGATTTTCCTCTGTTAGGTGTTCATTCTTTGGGTCGGAGGACTGTTTCGGAGTTGGAAAATAAAGTGTCCTCACCAAATAGATAAGGAACTCCTAGAAGGCGTGGAGCGTTATGTTGTTGTTTTTCTTGTTTGTGGTCCTAGCCCCTGATGCAGTGCTGGGCACAGCAGTGTGGCATTTAGCGGTCAAGCGTTCTGGGGGCAGATGAAACTGGCACCGTCCCAGCTTTGCTCCTGTTAACCGTGTGATGTTAACGTACTGGCTCGCCTGGACGTCTTTTTGATAGTATGAGGGCTTATTCAGTCTTTTGACAAATATTTATTAAAGGCTATCAGTAGAGTTGGCAGATAAAAGCACGTTAAAAATAAATAAGATGAGTTTAGATAAAGGTGGGAGTCGAGCTGACAAGACTTGCTCATGGCCCAGATGTAGGGGTGAGGGAAAGATCAGGGTGAAAATGGTGCCCGGGATTCTGGGGGGTTGAGGGGCAGAAGTTAAATGGGAGTCTGAAGAGGAACGTGTTTGGAGGGGGATAAGGGGAAGTTCTCTCTAGGGCATGTCAAGTTTAAGATGTCAGGCAGTTCAGCATGAGTCTGTTGCTGAAGATGGCACATGGCCATTTTAGCGTCATCAGTGTATAGTTGGCATTTGAACTTGGGATGAAAAGAGACTGCCCAGTGAGAGAGAGAGACCATGGAGAGAGCAGAGGCCCAGCCTGAGCCTGGGGTGCAGCCCACCACCAGAAGTCAGGCAGAGAGGCAAGGTGAGGAAGGAGATGGGAGGAGGGGGCCAGGGTAGGGGAGAATGAGAGTGTGAGGCGCCGTTAGACAGACGGCCATGACTCTGAGGCCTCCTGTCCTCCAGAGATGCCCATGGAGTCTCTTAAGCTGATTACCACCATGTATTCAACAAACACAAAGGAGGACATGAAAAACATCAAATAAAACAATTTCTCAATGAGACTCCATTTTGAGTGGGATTGTCGTCAGTCAAGAAAAAGTTCTCAAAAAGACAAGTTACCAAATGGAAACTGCTTTCAGCTCAGGACTGCCAGAGAGCCGGGCATTCACACCCGTTCCTGAGACATCGCTGGTTTCCCAAGAAACCCCGCAGACCCCGTGACCGACAGTCTCATACTCATCATCTATTGCTTTCACTTCTCCAGTTGCTGTGCCTCCCTCAGGAAAGCACAGCATCACAGCTTGGCTAATAGGAAACTTTCTAAGCTAAAAATACAACTTACCCCTGCCCCGCCCCCACAGAAAGCGTCTACAGCGGGCCGCAGAGACCTTGGTGCTTGGGGTGGGGCTTCCATGATGTTAGTTATGCCTCCCAAGCCCACTTGTCTTCTCTGCAGATGGGCAATTCTCACGTCCTTGAAGAGCCTCCGTCCGCCACGTATTTGGGATTTGGAGATGAGCTTTCACAGCTGGAATCCAAGGTTCCAACCTCACGTGTGTTTTTGTGCCCCCAGCCTCCACTTCCCATTCCCATTTTCTATACTCAGGTAGAAAGAAGAAAGGTTTCTCAAAATGGTAGCCTCAAGCTGTTAGGACAATCTGACTGATTCAGATTTTTTTGTTCTCCTTTTGTATTTCTTTGTGTAGATCTCTGTTGTAAAGCCTGTGCAGGTCAGTGACTTAGGGGAAAAGAGGTTGTCTTTATGCAGGGGTTAGTTTTTCCAGCTGGGTTGGGTTGGCAGCACATGTTAACATGTAACTCACATGGATACACCAATAGGAATTACTTTCCTTTGAGTGTCAGCATCTTGGAGGCCATGGGTCGGATGGACTGGCTGTTTCCTGTTAATGTCACTTGCAGATAACAGTGACTCTTACAGTTCCTCTGCCGCCACTATCTCCAGGTGTCCTTGTGCCTGCCCTTTTCAAGAAACAAGCTTGCACTCGACATAAAAGATGAGATGAGGGATTTATAATAGGTGACCAGAAAGCGATGAAATTGACTGCCTCGCATAACTTCATAATGTTTTATTTCCATAGTCACACTTACCATAGCCTTCTCTGTATGTTTTTAAAGCACTTAAAGATAAAATGTGAAAATTGGGTAGAAGCTAGGCTTGGAAAAGAGCCTGAGTGAAAAGCTGAGTCATATGTCTAGCGTTTTCCAGCCCATGGCGGGGCAGGAGGCCTGGGGGCAGTGGGAGTATGAGAAGGGTCCTCTGGATCGCCCCTCTAAATGGGAGATCAGCTGAGTAGTAGAGAAGAGAAGCACTTTGCCATTAGTTGCAAGGGGAAGAACAAATCACAAACGCACAACGGGTTTCGTGTGAGATTCCCAGATGAGAAGACATGGCTTTTGTACTAGGGTTCCGTGGGTGACAGCTTGATAATGCCCAACCCCAGTGCTCTGACAAAGGGCTAGAAGCAGCATACGCATTGGGAAGACGGGGGCAGCCCTGAAAGACCTGGCCTCAGGTTCTAGTTCCCCATACAGGCAGGCTCCCTTCTCTCTGAGCCTCAGTTCGCTCCTCTGTAACGTAGGGCAGCAGCATCATTTTCCCGGTAGGAACGTTTCAAGGCCAAATGGGTTCATGTGTGTGACTTCTCTTGACAAACTATAAAGCATCATATATGTTTTTTTTTAAATGCTTTCCCAGACATTGCTTTACTTAACCCCACAAGAACTCCTTAAAGTTTTACAGGTCAGGAAGCTGAGAACTGTGGGCTAAAATATCCAGTGAATTACACTGCTCTCGAAGATCATAGTTCACTTTAAAAAATGATATCAATTCTTCTACAACTATTGAAACAGCAGAGACGTTTCCTAGGAAACAGTTGTAACTGGGATGGAAGAACAAAGCATTGTCCCTCTGGCCTGTCCCAGGTGGCTAGTGACCTCTCTGTGGCCATTTACCATGAGAGGAGATCATTCAACACCACACACCTGTGAAAGGCCCTAGGCCCGCCCAGCCCAGCACTTAACATCAGAGGTGTTGGTACCATCTTAAGGGAAGATTGTTCTGTAAGCTAAAGAGGTTTCTTTTAGAAAACAGGAAAATCTTTACTAATTTTAATGAGAATAGAATGCATACTCTATGTTTTTTTCAAAACAGCTAAGCTCTCTTGAAAGAATAATGATGTTCTCGAAATGTTTTAATGTTAAGCATTTCTCTGAGTGGTTAATTTGGAAATACATAGTATGATATTGTTTTACTGTATTATCAGAGGTTGGATAAAGGGTGGTTGGGATATTGGGGAGGAGGGACTCCCTCAAGTAAAAAGCATTAACAAGTAAATAATAAATTAATTCATAAAATCATTTTATTAATTGACTTCCACCTCTTTTTTTCTGCCTCTCATTTCAGAACGGTTTGATCACCACTGTCCCTGGGTAGGCAACTGTGTGGGGAAAAGAAACTACAGATTTTTTTATATGTTTATTTTATCTCTGTCTTTTCTGACAGTCTTTATATTTGCATTCGTTATCACGCACGTCATTCTTCGTAAGTATGCTGGCGAAATCAGATTACGTATGTAACCATTTGCCTGACTTTGGTTTTCTGATTTGATTTCGAGTTAGTATTTTGATCATTTCGGGCTTTTCTTTCTTCTCTTCCCCCTTCTCACTTCCTACCTTCCTCCATCCCTCGTCATCTCCCTCTCTCCCTTCCGGTCCCCATTCCCGGTCCTTCCAACAGCAGCTGCCGGGTCACACCTGGATCCGGCTGTCTTTCACTTCTAAGACTTTTTCCTTGATATACTCTCCCTCATCCCAACCTAAGTAACGTCACTTTTTCTTCTGCTAAGGGATTCCCTGAAAGAATCATCCCCATATTTTCACAAAGGATAATGTGCTGCCCTGATGGCAGAGCTTTTTTTTTTTAATGATATCTACTTATGCAGGAACAGTCACCCTCCCTAGAAAAAAATGTGTAGGATAAAGCCTGGGTTTTCTTATGCACAAGTCTATCTCTTAAAGACATACATTTGATAAGATGTTTGATTCTCTGCTAGAACATTCATAAATGCTTGGCATATGAAAGAAGCAACTTTATTAAAAATGAGACTTAGGGGCCGGCCAGGTGGTGCAGCAGTTAAGTTCACACGTTCTGCTGCTCAGCGACCCGGGGTTTGCCAGTTCGGATCCTGGGTGAAGACATGGCACCACTTGGCAAAAGCCATGCTGTGGTAGGCGTCCCACATAGAAAGTAGAGGAAGATGGGCACGGATGTTAGCTCAGGGCCAGTCTTCCTCAGCAAAAGAAGAGGACTGGCGGCAGATATTAACTCAGGGCTAATCTTCCTCAAAAAATAAAAAATAAAAAAGAGACTTAGATATAAATGATTTTAATATATATTTGCCTAGGCAAATGGCATTTTTTCATCCCCCATTCTCAGGGTCATCACTTTGAATTTCTCTTGTCTCTGGACCATTCACTTTCCTACAATTGGAAATGATGAGAAGGAAGTTAATTGGTTTTGAACTATATATTTAAGCCTTAAAACTTCCATCACAATGCCATTAGCCCCACTAAAGACCAGCATTGTCTCTTGCCCACGTTCCTGAGGTACAATCACCCATTAGCAACTACAGAGCCTCCCTCTGGAATGTTTCCAGAAGTGTCTGAGCACAGGCCTCGCTCTCTTCACATACAACAGCACCAAAACCACAAATGGAGCCGAGCTGCGCCAGAGTCAGAAATGCATATTCTCCTCCCTTCGCTTCGTGGGATTGGTGAGCTGGCTTGCGGGAGGTGGGGGAGGAGCAGTATGGAACATTTCACACTCATTCTTTTGAAATATTGGTCGATTTTGAGCATTAAATGGACTGTCTCAAATTTTCGTAAGCATTTTAATCCTAGTTCCCATTCTTTCTGACTGAAATCCTTACATCTACATGTGACACAAATTTGTCATATATGCTTGAGAGCCATAAGTTGGTGGCACTGCAAGGAGAGGATTGACATTCATTAGAGATCTCTTCCCTACTACCTGGGACAGATGCCAATAGTGGCTCTGCAGGGGCATCTCTGCTCTCTGTTTTCAGAGTCTCGGAATGGCCAAAATGTAGCCAGGGTCCCATCTACGTATTAATAGACAGAAGAAGCAATTGTCTACACTAGAGTAGAAGTAAGTGCTAATATGCCAGCATATCTATGACACTAAAAAATAGCACGTAAACATTACATTTTTCTATCATCTTTAGCAACTTCGAAATGCTTTCAGATATATTTATATATTATTGCATTGTATTTATGGCCTTGCCCCTACATTGTGGATATCAAGGGCCAGTTTTTGCTCACTCGACTGCACGCATAAAGTCTGAGAACACACACAAAGCCACCTGTCACCACAGGTGGGTTGCGATATACATTTCGCTTGCATCTTCTCTAAAGTTTTACTCACCCTGGCTCCAGCAAAATGGAGTTTGCTGGAGTTTATGCTTATATGTTGGTAATCCAGTCTTCCATCAAAAAAGCATTCAGAATTTATCTGCCTGCAAGTTACCCAAATATTTTGGACAAAAGCCAATGAAGATTTTCCTCTTCCCTCATTCTGTACTCTCCCCAAAAACTCCCACTAAACGACACCACCCACCCCCAATTTGGCTTGGCATGGGACGCTTTAAGGAGAGCAGAGGTTTTTTTCTCTTTTGAGGAAGATTAGCCCTGAGCTAACATCTGCTGCCAATCCTCCTCCTTCTGCTGAGGAAGACTGGCCCTGAGCTAACATCCATGCCCATCTTCCTCTACTTTCTATGTGGGACGCCTACCACAGCATGGCTTGCCACGTGGTGCCATGTCTGCACCCTGGATCTGAACCGGCGAACCCCGGGCCGAGGAAGAGGAAGTTACGCACTTAACCGCTGCGTCACCACGCAAACCGAGAGCAGAGGTTTTTACATGCTTCCCATAATCCCACTAAGATTCTGAAAACACTGGCAAAGGCACAGAGCGATTTGAGAGCAGCAGAGAGCTGTTCTGAGCTCTCCCTGCTGCGTAATGGGCTCTGAGAGGGACAACACGACAGGGGCGGGGGGGGGGGGGGGGGGGGGGGGGGGGGGGGGGGGGCGCGGCGGGCAGGGAGAGAATTCTGTCATCGCAAAGATTCCTGGGAAGATGACATCTGGATTTCCTTAGAGAGGAAGGAGAGTCTGGGAAAGCAATGCCATTTGGGTTCAGTAGGCAAGGAGAAATTATTTCTTTTGGTCTCCTAATTGTGCCTCCAGATTGTGTTTGTGCTGAGACCTGCAGCATGTCCACTTGCTGGTTTTGCCCTGCTGGCCTAGCAGAGGTGGAAGAGAAAGCCTTAAGCTTGCCTCAGCAGTTCTCCCGCCAGTGGGCATCCTAGCACACAGCACATCCTTGTGCCTCAGTGGTGGCCAGTGGGCACAGAGAGGAGGGGAGGACAGCACAGAGGGAGTGAGAACGCAATGAAGAATGTGGAGCCATCCCACTCTTAGCCTTCCCGTGGCCTGACACGGTTTGCAGTTACACAGACATGTCCAAGACACTGCCTACAACTCCCACGTTGTAGCCACACCAACAGGAAACACCACAGAGACGCACTAGAACCGGCACTTCTCTCCATATTCATCTCATTGCTGCCCCAGCGCCAGAGTATGTCCCCAAACACATGGCTTCCCACAGCACAGCAGGGACCCGGCGTCACCACCCCAAGATCGGAGCACTAAGACTTCCTCCCTGTGGGCTTTTCTTTTTAAAAAGCGTCATGTCAATACATAAAACAGAAATTGCTTCTTGTCAGATGCATCTTCACTCAAGCCCCTAAAGGAATGTTTTTTTGTATGGACAGTTCATGTCCCGGAAGGAGTCAGTGATAAACTTCAGCTTTATGGGTTTGTTTACGATGGGTGCAGAGAAAGACGTCTTTTATATGTAGCCTAGTTTATAAGACGTCCAGGGTCAAAAGTTAACAAACTTTGGGAAAACAGTCTTTCATAAAAGAAGAGAAAAAATAGCCTACAGTATTCTGGTTTCCTATTAAAATGAGGAAAACAAAGGAGTAATCAGAACTCTAATTTATGGGCCAGTATGCAGACATGCATCTGCTTTTATTGAAAAAATATCCAGCAGATGTTGGGTCTAATTATGAATCTACCATTTTCTTGTTGAATAACTTTAGTGGAATCTCAATCTTTGTTCAGTATACTGAGTGCCATAGCATGTAGGAAATATACTTATTTAATTGATCTTTAGACCTATGATTTTTAAGTAGATGAGAGAGCTTCCAGCCTGCAGGCTGTGTTCTGGAGGTGAACATTTGAACACTAAATTTTGGTTTCCTTCCCACAGGTTCACAACAAACGGGATTCCTAAATGCCCTGAAGGACAGTCCTGCAAGATATCCTTTCTGGTTGTTCTGGTTTTTCCAATGCGAGCGTATAAGTATTGGACTGACCTTCTCCGTGACCTCTGCGTCTTGTATCTGGTTCTTCTCATAAGCCATATTCTTTTTCTTTCTGTAAAGCACCCAAAGAACTCCCTATATTCACTTGCATGAATAATTGCGTCTGAAAGCTTGAACCTTTGAGGGACTCATTTAGCCTTGCTTAAATCGAAGCGCTCTTTAGCTAGAGAGTCAAGTGTGAATTCTTGCCCAGCCCCAGAGACCAGCACTGATTTGTATTAAACCAGGTTGGTTTAAGGAGAAGTGAGGTTGCGGAGCCCCAGCTGACTTCATTGTGCTCAGCAGTGGTCCCTATGGAACATTTATGGATGCCCCTGTGTGGGCCCCCTTTTTGGTATGGTCACCAGTTGGGAATCCTCTGACCCTCATATGGATTCTGTCTAGGGGTGCAGTCCAGCATCTCACTGGGAGGTACAGATAACCCATATTTATTTCCAGGAAGAGAACACCTTTTCATAGCCCTGGATGGACTAAAGTTGGTCAATCTCAAGTCTTTTAGGTTAATCCCATCCTGCCGGACAGTATAAATGGGCGTGTACCATAGGATTTTGAACTTCTTGAAAGAAAAACGTTGGCCCATTAAGTGTTTGAATGGGCCCCCGCTCCCTCCCCTGTCCCCCTAGGTTTTACACTAATTAGTGCAGAGTCTGCCAGCTGGACCCACTCACCTGGCTCCCTCTGGCACCCAGCTCTCTTTCTTCTTCGTACAACCAGGTACGTTGGACTTTAACTCCTCGTTACTCTCAGGAGTAATCTTCATCTTGTGGTAGAGAATTCTTAAAGAATGAAGGACTTTACTAAGAGGTACATGTCATGCATATCATTTAGTTATTAAAAATAAACTGGCCCGTGTCCCTGGGAGCTAGCGTGTGTGTGTGTGTGTGTGTGTGTGAGTGTGTGCGTGTGTGTGTTGGTGGTATTTAGATAGATCTAAAAGCAAATGTGGTCCTGGATACAGAATTACTTAATACGAAGTGTCCCCTTTTTGGTACCCCTGTGTTTATGGGCAGCACAGGATGCTGGTTGCGAGTACAGATTCTGTAGCCAACTAATCTCTTAAAAAGGGGCCAGGGTCATATGGTAGATGTGCAGAGGGGGCTCGGAGATTTCGTTTTACAGGGACGTCCTGTCTTCTGTTAATGATCTGGGAAGCTAGAGTTACTAGCAGTTGGCCAGAAGGAAAGGTGGTCCTGGGAATGAGGTCTTCAACATCTGGGCTGCTAGGAACAGTTCCCGTGGGAAATGCCATCCTTCCTCCCTCTCCCCAACCCTCCCACCCTCCACGGTCATCACCTCTCAGTGCCCTGCGATTTCCAAGGCCTGTTGCTTTGGCACAGCTTATAGCCAAGCCTTGTCTTTTCTTCCCTGAAGAAGCTCGCCCAAGTCTTTCAGGAAATCACTTACATCATGGAAACATGCTGGTGGTGTGAAGTTTCATCAATGCACCTCAGAACCAGAATTGAGGTCCGGGCTGCCAGCTGGAATGCTTGCTGAAGCCTCAGGTGTGTGGCAGCCTCGGCGGCCTCCCCTCCTCTCTCCCCGGCACCTGGCCTTTCCTGAGACCCTGTGCCTGTGCAGGATGCCCGTTAAGCATTTCAGACAATGGATGTCGATGACAGGGACTCCTCTCATGGGGGCGGGGAGGAGAAAGGCTGACCTGAAGCCTGGGAGATTTCACCTGCTTCTTTCCGGGGCTGCAGGCTACCTGCTGTTCTTCGTGGTTCTCCTTGGGATCACCTTCAGACACAGCACTCCCCACGGGGGCAGAGAGGACCTGTGTGTGGTTGGGTTTGTTGCTACCGATCTTCATCCTATTACTACAGACCTCCCAACTCGTGGATCTTATCGTATCATAATCCCAGAAGGAGTCACAAGGAAGGACGAGGTAGCGAGTCCTGGACTGGGGTAAAAGTCTTTTAACTCTGCTCCACCACAGTTAATTATGAGGTCCTGGGTCATTTCTTTTAACCCTTTTGTGTCTCAATTTTTTGACTCAAAATAGTCGACGCTTCTGTACTTGACAAAGGTATGCTGACAAAATCAACTGTATGGAATATGTGAGAATGCTCAACACAAAGCATTGCTGACGTGCATGTGAGAGTGACTTGAAGGAGGCTTCCTCTTGTGGCCATCTATGTGACAGGCAGGATCTGCCAGAACCTTCTTTTTTGACTGCACAGTCTGCATAATCAAGAGCTTTGTGTTCCCTGTAAGGGGACGAGACAAAGGTTGCTGATAGGGAGAGTGACAGTGTCTTTGAAGTGGGATGCTGACTTTGCTAGAGAAACTATTCATGTGGAGAGGGGAGGAAAGAGAAACGCTCCTATCTGGCCCAGAGCGAATTTTAGTTTCTTTCCCCTGGAAATACCATTCTCAGGGAGAGGTAAAGAGTTTCTCCTATGGCCTCATGAAAATCTCAGCCACTGCCTTTCCAAATAGTGTTGCCGTATGAGATGCTGACCCTCCTTGTGAACAGGCAGATGTTTTTCCCTTTGCTGGTGTTACCCAGGCGTGTCCTCCACATTCAGGAGCTCGGCGGCCACAGTTGTGGCAGCCACAACCTGCTCTGACTGCGTGCCAGCCTCTCACAGCATCTAGGACATCCTGGTCCATCCAGGCCAGGGCCTTTCCCAGCATGCTCTGGCATGTGCCGGCTGTGTTCACGTCCTGTTGCTGCTTTAACAATTAGCCACAAATGTAGAGGTTTAAAGCAACATCAGCTTATTATCACACAGTTCTGTAGGTCAGAAGTCCAGTAGACTCAGCTGGTTTCTGCTCCAGGTCCCAGAGGGCTGACACCAACATGTCGCCAGCCTGGACCCTTATCTGAAGTCTACAGGGAGAATCTTCTTCCAGGCTCATTCAGGTGGTTGACTAAATTCATGAGGTGTAGGACTCAGGCCCCCTGCTCCATTCGCTGCCTCCTGGCTCCCTTCCTCTTCAAAGCCAGCGCCAGTGGGTCAAGTCGCTCTCATACTTTGAGTCTCTCTTGCCTCTTCTTCCATCCGTCTTTCTAACCTCAGCCAGAAAGTCTCTCCACTTTTAAAGATTGGCCCCCACCCTGATAGTTCAGGATGATCTCCCATCTCAACGTCCATAGCCTTCAAGCTACAGACTCCCTTGTGCCGTGTAAGGTGATGGGTTCACAGATGCATCTTTGGGAGAGGCCGTTGTACTGTTGACCCCACAGGCCTTGAGTAGGGGGTACCCCGGAAGCAGCACTCAAGTGCAGGTGGATTTGAGAGGTTTTCTGTCTGAACCCATCCATGAAGCTCACTAGCAGTCCATCACTTCTGAGTCTGTTTCTCCCCTCCCTTCCCTTTCCTGCCCTTTCTGTTAATCTAGGAGAGAGAGGATGGGAGACAAAAAGCGACAGGCTTAATATACATATATACACATACACACACACGTGTGTGTATGTATTTATATTTCCTCCCCTGAGTTCAGGTTGAAAATGTTAACAGAATGCCCCATGAGGTCCTTGTTGAACTAGCCCACCCTTCACAATTTACAGGGACGATTATCATCATCGTAACTTTGCTCCTGCTCATTTGGTCCCCACTTAGCTTTGTGGCACCTCCTGATCCACTGTCATGCTGGGCTCCTGCCTGGAAAAAGGCAATCTAAAGCTGAGGTCAAAGTCTCTGAGGGCAGCTGCCCCAGCCGACATAAAGGACTGTCTGATAAAACCACCCCATTTCTCTCCTGGAGAAAAGCCAGAGCCAGGAGCGAGATTCAGGAGGAAGCTGACAGCAAACGTGCCCACCCTCAGTAGGGGAAGATGAGCGGGAGGTGACGTGAGCAGTCTGAGCAATGCCCCCAGCTTGGATCTGCTGTATCCTTTTTGGAAGTAGAGGAGAATTTCAGGTTCTCAGACAGATCCATACTCAAAAGTGAGGTGCTGGGTTTTTTCAATTATGAAGCACATAGATTTTTTGTGACACTAATGTCCCTCCCCAGTCAATGGTGTGACAACCTGAAGCCCCTCTGTTCTGATGGAGTGTTTTCTGTTTGAAATAGATGCTTTGGAGAAGATTGCCTCCACTGAGTGAGTCTATTAAGAAATATTGAGTTCTGATGATTTATCGTAAGTTTGTATTCCAGAAGAAAAAGTATGCTTTAGGTTCTAATTGGTTGTGATGTGTTTTTGAAAACGTATCATGTTGGTTATCACTGATCATATATGTGATAGGAAAGGCTGAGTGCCATCAGGATGCCTGTTCAGCATTTTTGGCTCCTCCGTTCCCTCTGGACACTCTGTGGCTTTGGAGGTGGCCCGGATGGATGGCCAGGTGGATGCTTCTGAGGGGCCACTCTCACTCTTTGAGAAAGGTGTGCTAACCCCTGGAGCAGCTCAGAAGTGGCATGGCCTGGGGAGGCAATGGGATCATAGGGCCGGGGTGTTTGAAAAGAGGATGGATCCCGTTGTCAGTGTGGTAGGAGATTCTAGCATCAGATAAGTGTTGAACTCCAGAGCTCTAAGCTCCCTCCACTGTGGAGGCCCTGAGAGTTTGGCAGGCTCCTTAGAGGTAGTCTATTTATGATGGATGAGACCGATCTGTGACATCTCTCACTCATAAAGCTGTCCTCTGATTGAGGGCAGTGCTGCCCACAGCTTGTTCTCTCCAGACCTGCAGTCAGTGTGGAGCAAGAATCTGTAAGGTACCAAGTCTTTCAAACATGAGGAGGTTTTTCTGGCTAAATTGCCTGAGCACAGGACTGGAGTCCAGTGTGACCTTGGCAAGTGACCTCTGCAGGGGGTTCTAGGCAAGAAAATAACTTATGTTTAAAATTTCTCAGTGGCCTCCCGTCTGATCCCCTGACCATGGTATAAAAATATTTTGATGAGAAGTGAAGGCCCGGGCAAAGACTTCTCACAGTAGATTTGCTCTGCAAAATAGCCAACAAAAAACAATGTCATTGATGAAGTGAGAGAGAGTAGAAACAAAGTCGGCTAATTGAAAGCCCACCAAGACACCTTATCAGAAATGCTGACACGAATGATGGAAACCCTGATGAACAAGAAGCCCTTCATCCGGCCCACATGAAACCCAGCAGGTCTTTCGAAGAAAGGAATCAGCCAGCTCATTCCAGAAGGAAGCCAAGACCGGATGACGTGTAGTTCCAGAGTGTGGCAAAGCCAGGAAGGAGAGGAGAACAGATAAGAAGGGTGAGGGAGGAGTGGAAGGAGAGAGCGCCATAAATGGCTGTGGGTGCAATGCCTGGCTCATTTGTAGGCACTTTCTGGGCCCTTCCCTGTCTGCACCTCAGCCTGCCTGTGGTGAGAGAAGGGGAAGGATGCTCAGCCACCAGGGTCACCCTTGGAGGGAGCACATCCGGCCTCAGAGCCCCAGCCCATCCTCCCTCCTCTTCTCCCTCTTTCCTCTCCACCTCCCATTGCCTGCTACTGTGACCTGAGACTGTTCCCTCTCATTCATCTCTGCATCAGAGAGGCAGAAGCAATGGGGTGGGGCCTCTTGGGGGTCAGTGGGCAGTGGGGTGGCTGCCCAGTACTATGAACTCTCAAGAATCCCCTGGGAAAGAGATGAAAGGAGTCTCCTCCAGAAAGGATGGCACTGAGTCTTCAGGCCACACAGCCAGGCAGGTTCCAACAAAAGACGCCTGCTTGGCATCTATTTCCTTCAAAATCAGTTTATTGAATACCCACCACGTGCGAAACCTGTCGAGCTTACAAAGTCAGAAAGGATCCGCCCAGACCTTGCATGGACAGTCAATCAAAAGGGGGCAGCGCAGTGATGGGGGCAGGGTGATTCATTCTCCTCCTCTACAAACATCTGTTCACGCCAAGAGCTGGGCTGTAACTCTGAGTTCTTAAAAGCAGAATAAGTCTTCAGTGCCATAAAAAAGTCACTGAGTGCACTCGAGGTGGGGGCGGGGTCCAGAAGGAAGCAGTACATCCAGTGGGGAAGGCAGGAAAGGCTTTGGCAGGTGGCATCTGCACAGGGCTTAGAAAGATGGGTGGGATTCTCATAGGGCAGGTGGAGGGGAGACATCCCAGGCAGGGTGCTGTGGGTGTGTTGGGGAAGCGCAGACCCTCCGTTCGCAGGATACTGGCACCTGGAGCACGGAGGTGGTCCCAGTCACCAGGCCCTCTATCCTAATGGTGTCCGCACACAGATGCTCTTAAACACTCACACGGTGGGCACAGGGGAGGGCGCTGTGATAGCTAAGCCCTGATAGGGGGTGATCAGGAATGATCGCTCCCAACAAGGGGTGGGGGGTCCTGGCAGCATTAAATACCAGTGAAGCCGTGGGCTGCCTTCTTCCCCTGGACGCTGGGAACCAGCTAAGATTTCTGTCAGGTGAATGACATCATCAGAGCTGGTTTTTTGTTCTTGTTTTGTTTTTGAGAATGTTCATCTCCAGCAAGAAACACAATGGAGTGAAATAGGAGCCGTTGCGAGGAAAGGCCCCCGAAATTGAGATCAAGTGACAAGGGGACGGCTCAGCTGGGAGAAGCTCTGCCGTCAGATCTGGAGTGGGGGAGGGGGGAGGAGGAGGGGTCAGAACCGAATCCCAGGATCCAGCCCTGGGTGGTCTGGGGAAAGAGGGGTACCGAGGAAAAGGGAGACGGTTGGCATGGTTTGGGGAGAAATGAGTTCTGTTTAAGGTGTGTTTACCAACAGAACCTAAGAGATCACATGCAGAAACCTCCACAGGAGCCTGGAGTAGCTCTAGGATCCTCTGTAAGTGCTTGCATAAAATACGGAAGGAAGAGAAAAGCATGAGACTGACCATGATTACGTACAACCTCAGAGGAAATGTTACCAGTCCCGCAGTGTCGGTGAGGCCACATGGCCGCGCCACCTCCTCCTGGCAGCCTTCCAGGGTTCTGGGAGATGGAAGCCCTGAGGAACAGGCGGTGGGCCAGCAGCAGGGCCTCATTTGAGGAAGAGCCAGGAGAGGGAACCCCTGCCCATCAACAGCCATTTCAACACAACAGCATTAACGCCCAATTAAAAGGATTACGGTCATTTTTAATCATGATTTATTGTTCCCAATAAATGCTCCCTAAACGAAAAGAGTTTTCAGTGGTTGGTAAATCAAATGGTAATTGATTCCACATTTGTGGAGGCTTTTACTAGAAAGCCTTTTTATCCCCAATTTGCATTCAATTCGAGGCACAAGTGTCTGAGAGGCAAGGACGGCGTAATGGGTGGTCGTTCCGTTTTAATGGAATTTGGTAGAAGGCTTAGAGTTGGTGTGAGTGCCCACAAAAGGGACACACACTGGGCAGCCTGATGGAAAATGAACCAAGGCAGCACAGGCTTTCACTGACGCTCGGCATTCAAGGCCCTTCCATCCCGATCTCTGTTGATCCTGAGAGGGACCCCGGAAAACAGGTAGGACAGGTGTCCTTAGGTCTCGTACAGCTGGACCTGCACTGAGAAGTTATTTACGTTCCAAGGAGTCACCAGAAGCAGAGCCACTTCTCCTAACTAATTACCAGCCGGGGAACGGAGATTCTTTCCCGTCGCCCCTCACCAGTCTGATGGAGGGAATTTCATGAAGAATGCGCATCAGATTATGTCTCATGAGGTCACAAAGTAGGGGATGAGGTGGTTTGGTTTTTTAACTCACCGGAGTGATATAAGAACATAGTCACATTGTAACAAATTTCAAATAGTCAGAAACATCCTAGTAAAGGGGAAGCGTGGCTGTTGACTCTCCCTTCATCATTCTGTAGGAACCCTTGTCAGTTTTCATGGGTCCTTCCAGATGGTCTTCTGAGAGTTTGAACACATGTGTGTTCATACCCAGATGCCCATATACAGTTGGCGGGACTGCTTGTACCTCAAAGGGTTACACTCTCTGCATGTCCTAGAGTTTGATTTTTAAATATTTCCTGGAGTTATTTCCATGTCCACATATAGATCTACCACATTCTTTTTTCAACCGCTTTATAGGATTCCAGAGTATGGATGAACCTTAGTGTATTCTTCTGTTGCTGGATATTTAGATTTCTTAATTTTTTTACTGCTCAAAAACTGAGGTGGTAGATTTTCTTGTTTGTACTCTTTGTGCACAAGGGTTGGTTTTTCTCTAGGACTGACAACGAGATGTGAAATCACTGAGTTGAAAGTTAAGCATTTTTTAAATGTTGATTGACGTGCCAAATTGTCCCCTAAAGAGATTGTACCAATTCTCCATTTCTCCACACCTTCACCCACACTGGGTGTTATCAGGGCTGTGATTTTTGCCAATTTGATGGGGAGAAAAAAATTCATTATTTGGATTTCCATTTTCTGGGTAGTAATCGCCTTGCACATATTCTCATGTTGTTGACTTTTTTTTCTATTCTCAATGTGCTAATTCACACCTTTTGTCCATTTTTCAGTTGGGTTGTTTGTTTTTTTCCTGTTAACATTTTCTTTATGTATTCTCAAGAATAGTCTTGTAAATATCTTTTGCCAATTTTTTTCCCCTAATCTGTCTCTTAACCTTTAACTTTACTTTTTTAGACAAAAATGTTTAATTTATTAGCAAAAATCAATCTATAAATCTTATACTACTTGGCTCCTGGGTTATGGGCCTTATAACTTTGCCCCAAAATTATACGAATATTTCCTTTATTTTCCTCTAATACCTTTGTATTTTGTTTCTTAAGTGTAGCACAGTAATTTATCTATGATAGAATTTTGTGTTTGTGGTATGAGCTGAAGTTCTGTTTTCCCCAAATGTTTAGTGAAGTGTCACGTACCACTCACTATGCTATTCTAATAATTCTCAAATTTTGGGGTCTTGGACTCCTCTATACTCCTAAAAATTATTGAGGACCCCAAAGAGCTTTTGTTTATATAGATTATATATATATATATTTGTACACATTGTGTTTGAAATTAAAACTGAGAAATTTTTAAAACACAAGAATGAGCAAGCTCTCATGCAATTACCTTAAGACTGCGAACATCATCTTGTAATCATGCAGCCTCCAGCAGAAGCCACTGAATGGCAGAATGAGAGCAAAACTGGTAAATAATGTTCTGGTATTGACAGGAAGATGGTTTTGAC